GAAGCCTGAATTCTAACTCAGGTAAGGGGTCCTTGGGGCAAGAGTCCTGGGTTTCTGAATAAAGCTGCTCTTCCTTGCCCCAACAACTCATCTCTCAGTTAATTGGCCTGTCATCAGGTGAGCAGTACAAGCTTGGACTCAGTTACAGAAGAGCTGGCACTCTTGCTCTCTCAGGAAGATTTCCACTTTCATTCATTTAGTCATTCATTGCATATTTGAGTCCTGCTCAGAGCCAGGCCTTAGCTAACTGATGACTCACCCTTGGAGACCCAGCTCAGACCTCACCTGGTCCACCATGCCTTTTTCCATCGCCTGCTCTGCCCGCACAGTTTTCTGCCTCACCCAGGGCCCCTCAAGTCTTTAACCACACTTTAATGAGCGCTCCAGCTTGTGAGCCCTGTGAGGACTTCGACGATGCAGAATGGGGCTCAGAAAATGTGATGATGACAAATGATCAAATCAATGAGCTGGTTAAACACAAACCAGGCTTAGGTCACATTCACAAAAGGTGTCATCTTCTCCCTCTTTCCAGGGCCAGAGTTTCAGGGGGACATTGACCCAGAGCCCAAGGATCTTCTCTGACACTAACCTCATCTACAATATTACCTCTCTGGATGGATTTTATTTTCAGTTTTATTTCTTTTTACACTTGATGTCACTTCATGACTATTCCACTGAATATTGAGAAACTGAATGATCACTTCTGTTGTGTCTGGGCCAAGAAAGCCCAATACAGGGTAGGATATTGAGGAGGAGAAGGTCAGGGGAGTGGGGGGTGGGAAACCAATGGAAGCAGGCAGCTCCCACCCCCGTTCCCACCACCCCACCCCACCCCCTTTGTCCTTAACCAATCTGCCTGTGATTACCAGGGGTCAGTCTGTCTCCTCGCTAGATGGTCCATCCCTTAGAGACAGCTGTGGAGGTCACAAGACAAACCTAAGTTCTCAGGCCCCCGTGTGGCCCAGGAGCAGTCGCCTGTGCCTTCAGAGGGTCAGCTTCTGACCCACAGTGATGCTCTCCCAGAGTCGAGCGTGAGTTGTGGCCAGCCCTGCTCACCATGAGACACTGCAGCTCTTGCTCTGCCCTGAAACCACCCCCCTGCAGCCTGGCTGTATTTGGGGGGACGCCTGGACAAAGCAAGGCACGAGCGAGTCAGAGAGAGTGGGCGCTTCAGGAGCAGAAGAGATACAGAGAAACTTGGTCTCACTGTGGCCACTTCCAACTGGTCCCAGCCTAATGCCACCTGTCATACATCCTGAGTGGACACAATCTCCTGGGAGCTCAGAGGACTCTCCTGAGAGCTGGGAATGTGGAGCTCTGGAGGGTGTGGCTGGCATAGCCCCCCACATGAGGCTGGGGCTCTGGTGCTCTGCAACTGGCCCGGAGACTGAAGCTAGCCTGGCAGGTTTGCAGTGTAGACTGTCAGGGAGTCTGGCTGAAGCTGCTGGCGTCCATGGTCACACCTCCCCCACCCGTCTGACCGGTTCTGACCCCAGCAGTTAAGCAGGGCTGGTCTGGCCAGCATGTGACAGAACCTTGGGAGCTCAGCACAGAGGCTCTTCGGCCGCCTCTCCTGTCCTGTATCCTGGGTCTCTCTCTCCTTCGCCACCACTGCCCGTCCCCCGTGGAGTTCTCTTCTTAGGCCGCCGTGGGGAGGCCTGTGTGGAGTCCTGGTCGGGTGGGTGGTACGGAGGGTCCCGAGACGGGGTGTCATGGCTGGGCTGCTGTGCCGTGCCTGCTGGTGGCTCAGGGCCGGTGCGGCAAAGACAGTTCTTAGTGACGTGGACTGAACACGTAACTTTGCCATAATGGTAATTTTATATTCTGTGAGTTTTTCACAATTAAAAGAAAAGAACTTGGGTGTGTGTGTGTGTGTGTGTGTGTGTGTGTGTGTGTGTGTGTATTATAATGGCCTAGAAAGGAATATTCTCAAGCCAAACAGAGGAGTGAATCATGTGCTAAACCATAGATTAGTCTCAAAGACATAACACCAAGTGTAAGAAATCAGCATACATGGCCACTGTTGTACAAATCCATGCACCTTAAATATGCAGAACAGGCAAATCATTAGGGACAAAAAGCACACAGATTGTCAGAAGTTGGGGGAAGGTGGAAGGGAAAGTGACTGTTGAATGAATAGTGGCTTTCTTTGTGAGGAGATGAAATGCCGTGATTTAGGTAGTGGTGATAGTTGCACAAGTTTGTCAACAGATGATAGATCATTCAGTTGTACATTTTGCAGAATAAATTTTATGTGAATTTGATTTCAACTTAAAAATTGTGATAGATAAAGGATTTTTTTTTTTAAGATATAACAGAAGTAGCACATATTGTTCTTTTATTTGGTTCTCACTCTTCTAACATCTGTAGGCAAACAAAAATCACCCTAAAGAGAACAAGCACTGTTTATTGCACTCTTGCTCCATAATGTGAAGGAATCAGTTACCAACCGTTTTGTTCAGCAGAGACTCGGGCATTGTGGTTGCTGTTGTTCAGTCACTAAGTTGGGTCCAACTCTTTGCGATCCCATGGACTGCAGGACACCAGGCCTTTCTATCCTTTGCTATCTCCCAGAGTCAGGCATAGGCATGGGAAAGTTTTCTGATAGTAAAAAGGAAGCACATTGTGATCAGAGATTGTGATGCAGGAAAGCTGGGAGGGGGGGACTGGTTAGAAGACGGGCCTCCTCTATGTGTGTCTGAGGGACATATTCGGTTCCCCCTTTTACTTCTAAATAGGAAGGATGATTAAAAATAAGGAAGCTGTCAGTCACTGATTAAAGTCTGACTATTGAGGTTTAATACTGCAGGGGTTGTGATCGGGCTTTCTGGGTTGGTTGCTACAGATTATGGATTAAGGCTTCACATTGGGCTTCTCAGATTGGGCTGAGAAATTCCTTGGCTCCAGGTGGATTGAGAAAATTCTGTATATTGAAGCTGTTGTCAAAAGCCAGAACTAAGAGTGTTCCCAGAAACAAAGATGATCCACACCTCCTGCCTCTCCACCCATATCCACCACACGTCAACCTCAATTATCCAAAGCAGGAGTGGTGGCCACTTTTGTAATTTTATACTAACTATAAAATGTCTGAAAGCAAAATTACGGGATTCTATTTAATGTATACACATCTGGTGTATGTACAGCTTGGTGACTGTAGTGGTAAAAGAACCCAACTGCCAAGGCAGGAGTTGTAAGATATACGGGTTTGATTCCTCGGTCAGGAAGATCCCCTGGAGGAGGGCACGGTAACCCACTCCAGTATTCCTGCCTGGAGAATCCCATGGACAGAGGAACCTGGTGGGCTACAGTCCATAGGGTCACACATAAACGGACATGACTGAAGTGACTTAGCATGCGGGCACAAATGTACATCTTGAAATTCCAAAGCAATGCTTGAGAGAGCATGCTGAATGTTTGTATTTTTTATCTTTTCAAATATTCAAAAAAACATTTTCTATTTCAGAACTGGAATGAATTTTTAGTTTATTTTTTATTCCATAATTCTGTAGGTTAAAGTTACTCACTGTAGCATATAAACAAGAAAATATCAGCTGCATGAACATCATAAAATCTTACCTTTACTTGAACAGAGGCTTTCAAATGTCAAGTGACTCTGCTTGTTGATTTCCTTTCAACAAAAGGATTCAGGGACCATGGTACCTTTGAGTTATAGGTTTGTCATCAACAACCTGTGGTTTCAAATCTGGCCCTGGCACTGGGTCTATTCTGCTCAGCTAGAGAGGGAAAAGGATGCCTTGTGGGACATGTTCAGAGGCCAGGCCTGTTCAGAGCCAAAGGAACTTCTACTCAATGTAGCTTGGCCAGAACTCACGGGCATGGCCATCCCTGGGATCTGGGCGGCTGGAACAAGAGTCTGTTGCATGTTGACTTGGAAAGAAGTGAGAAGCTTGGTGACTAGGGCTCTACACTCTGTGTACAAATATTAACTTTAAAACAAATGTCTTTCTTATCCACATTTCATCCGATGAAAAAGGTGACTCACTATCTGATTCTACTAATTAACCCTGGGGAAAAGATCTGTGGGAAAAGACCAAGCATATCAAACAATGCTCTCTGAAAGGAAAAGTCACACTGATTCCCAAGAGTAAAGCTGGAACATGTCCAGGATTAAAGCTATCCAAAAGATTTTAAAAGAGGTGATGAATGTGTTTAGAAATATTTAAATATGAGTTGCCCTTGGTGCAATAGAATGGGAAGGACTAGAGATCTCTTCAAGAAAATGAGAGATACCAAGGGAACATTTCATGCAAAGATGGGCTCAATAAAGGACAGAAGTGGTATGGACCTAACAGAAGCAGAAGATATTAAGAAGAAGTGGCAAGAGTACAAAGAATTGTACAAAAAAGATCTTCACGACCCAGATAATCACGATGGTGTGATCACTCACCTAGAGCCAGATATTCTGAAATGTGAAGTCAAGTGGGCCTTAGGAAGCATCACTACGAACAAAGCTAGTGGAGGTGACGGAATTCCAGTTGAGCTCTTTCAAATCCTAAAAGATGATGCTGTGAAAGTGCTGCACTCAACATGCCAGCAAAGATGGAAAACTCAGCAGTGACCATAGGACTGGAAAAGGTCAGTTTTCATTCCAGTCCCCAAAAAAGGCAATGCCAAAGAATGCTCAAACTACCACACAATTGCACTCATCTCACTCACTAGCAAAGTAATGCTCAAAATTCTCCAAGCCAGGTTTCAATAGTACATGAACCATGAACTTCCAGATATTCAAGCTGGATTTAGAAAAGGCAGAGGAGCCAGAGATCAAATTGCTGACATCTGTTGGATTATCAAAAAAGCAAGAGAGTTCAAGAAAAACACCTGTTTCTGCCTTATTGACTATGCCAAAGCCTTTGACTGGGTGGATCACAACAAACTGGAAAATTCTTCAAGAGATGGGAATATTAGATCACCTTACTGCCTCCTGAGAAATCTGTATGCAGGTCAGGAAGCAAGAGTTAGAACTGGGCATGGAACAACAGTTTGGCTCCAAATCGGGAAAAGAGTACATCAAGGCTGTATATTGTCACCATGCTTATTTAACTGATATGCAGAGTACATCATGCCAAATGCAGGGCTTTTGCATAACTTAAAGATGAGTAAATAATTATTTATTTGTAAATATACATTTTTTTTTCTGAGTGCATCATGCAAAATGCTGGGCTTTAGAATAATTGAAAGATGAGTAAATAATTATTTATATATTAAAATTGAGATAAGATACACATAACCTAAAATTTAGCCTCTTAGCCACTTTAAGTGGCTAGTTCAGCTGTGACCTGTACGTTCACATTAATGTGTAACCCAGCTCCAGAACTCTTCTTGCAAAACTCAAACTCTGTACCCACTGAACCAGTCCCCATTTCTCTATTCCCAGCCTCTGCCCACCACTACTCCACTTTCTGTGTCTATGAATGTGACTATTTTGAGTCATTAAGTACTCTAGGTACCTCATGGGCTTCCCTTGTGGCTCAGCTAGTAAAGAATCCCTCTGCAATGTGGCTGATGTGTGTTCAACCCTGAGTTAGGAAGCTCCCTTGGAGTAGGGAAAGGCTACCCACTCCAGTATTCTGGCCTGGAGAATTCAGGCCATGGAGTCTCAAAGAGTTGGACATGACTGAGAGAATTTCACTCCCTGGGTACCTTATATAAGTGGACGTAAGTGTTTACTCTTTTGTGTCTGGCTTATTTCATTTAGCATGATGTCCTGAAAGTTCATCCACTCTGTAGCCTGTGCCAAAGTTCCCTTTATGTTTTCAGTCTGAACAAGATTCCAGGTTATGCAGTCTGTTTATCCAGTCATCTGTTACTGGACACTTGGGTTCCTTCCACCTGTGGGCTATTGTGCATCATGCAGCTATGAACCTTGCTGTACAAATATCTGTTCAAACTTCTGCTTTCAGTTCTTTTGAATATATACCCAGAAGTGGAATTCCTGGATCATGTGGTAATTTTAGTTCCAATTTTTTAAGGACTGGCCATGGTGCTTTCCACAGTGGCTGTACTATACTATATTGTCAGCAACTCTGCACAAGATTCAATTTTCACCTACATTCTCACCAACACATCTTATTTCTGTCTTTTGATACTTGCTATCCTAATGGGTAAGAAGTGGTATCTCATTGTGAGTTTTATTTGCATTGAGCATTCTTCTCTGTGCCTGTTGGCCATTTGTATATCTTCTTAGAGAAATGTCTATTGAAGTAAGCCCTTTCGGATCTTCTGTGGATATTATATTTAAGTGGTAGTGAGAACATTCAACAGTAGTCTAGTGAGATCTACACTCTGAACAAATTTCTAAGTGTAGAACATAGTGTCATTGGGCCTTCCCTGGTGGCTCAGTGGTGAAGACTCTGCCTGCCAGTGCAGGAGACTTAGGTTCAGTCCCTGGATTGGGAAGACACCCTGGAGAAGGAAGTGGCAACCCGACCCAGTGTTTTTGCCTGGGAAATCCCATAACAGAGGATCCTGGGGGCTGTGGCCCACGGGGCCGCAGAGTCGGGCATAACTCAGTGAATACACAACAACAGTGTCATTAGTTACAGACAAAGTATATACAGCGCATCTCCAGAAGGCGTGCATCTCGCAGAACAGAAACATCTTACCTGGTGAGCAGCAGCTCCCCATTTTCCTTCTCCTGCCCCCAGCCACCACAGTTCTACTCTCTGCACAGGTAAGTTTGACTATTTTATTCAT